GCAGTACATCCATCCAAAATGATACCATTCCCGGGCTTTTACACTAACCTGCGACTGGTCGGCGAGTGGGGCCGACAGTATAACATTGTCTTCAAGCGCACCGCATCCCACCTCCTGGAGGCGCCGTTTGCCACCAATTGCCGCGACTATGGCCGACAACGGGCGGCACAGGCGGGTGATCAGACTGTGACGGGTGCGGCCGAGTCTTACGACATGTGCCTACAGTATTGCATAATGAATAAGTACCGGGAACTGTGCCAATGTCTGCCCCGTTATGGCCTGATCTATGATCGCAGTCGCCTCCTATCGGATGATCGCTTTTGTCCGCCGGACAGCCCGTGTCAGCGACTATACATCCGTCAAAATTGTTCGCACGAGTGTCGGCCCGATTGCCTTCAGGAGAGGTTTAGCGGCGAGATTGTGGCCGACATGCGATGGCTGGACATCAGTAACGCCAGTGGTGTTAAAGTGGGCCGCAAACCAGTGCCCGACGGTGTCTATCGGCACTCGCCGGCCATGTCTTGGGTACAGTTGGTGTCCGATGTCGGAGGTCTGGGCGGCCTATGGCTCGGCTTTTCGGTCGTGGCCTTAGCTAAACATGTCTTTCGTTTAATGAGACGATCGTCCAAAAGTAAATTTGTTAAAAGGCTTAGTTTACGACCCAACTCACCCACTGGTCATAATAATGTGCTCGTTTAGTGGCCATAAATTGATCAAGTTTGTTTGTTTTTAATTATTATTGTGTTTTTTGTTATTGAAATCTATTTATATGTTTTGCGATTAATTATTGAGTTATTTATGACTAAATTATTTGTACATTTAAAGTCGATTCTCATTTTTGTCTAATTATTTTTTAGTGCTTTTTTGTTTGCTTTTAATTTAATTAATTGTTTTATAAAATATTTGTTATCGTGTTTACGGAAATTACTTTGAAGTTTAAATTTTGACTTAAGCTTTTAATTTAATTAATAAAATTTATATTGTAACTTTAGAAATAATCTTGATTAATTGTTTAGGTATATTAACAATAGACATCTCTGTAAAAATTTTAATAATTGTTAAATGTATGTAAATTTTTAATACAAAATCCTGTTATACTAATGATGAATAATTTACAACAAATTACCTATAATAAATATAATCTCATATATAATATACTATTATGTAATTATTAATAATTCATAAAATTTCTATATATAAATGACTTTCATTATAAATAAAATTATAATGTTCGTTTAATTATATTTAATTCTACACTATATATAGATCTATATTTCAAAAAACAAAGAGATAAATGTATAAAACAAATAAAACATAAAACCCTATTATATTTCTAGTAAAATGAATAAAAAATAAGATAAGAATATGCAAAAAGAAAAAGGTTTAATTTAAAATTTCTATTAAATTTGCAATAAATAACTCACATAATAGTGAAAATAAATAAAATATAATAAGTACCAAAAAANTAGCAAAATGAATAAAAAATAAGATAAGAATATGCAAAAAGAAAAAGGTTTAATTTAAAATTTCTATTAAATTTGCAATAAATAACTCACATAATAGTGAAAATAAATAAAATATAATAAGTACCAAAAAATAGAAAATTAAAATTTTATATATTTATATAATAAGCAGTATATATACACAGAGAATGAATATATAGATTAACTTTCCACAGAATATTCTATAAAACACATACATATATAGAGAAACACACAGAATATTCTCTAAAGTCAAGTACAGAGTATATTGGCTGCAATTGCGCGCAACACACATACTATACTCACACACACACAGCCATACATTATGTACTACTGTTATACACACTCACAGAATATTCTGTACGTTATATACTATGGTTATGGAAAAAAATCGATGCAATAGTGCAATGAATTGCATGCGATGTACGAAATGTGTGTTTGGCTGCAGTTTTTGGTGAAATTTTCACTCACTATAAGACCGTTTGGCAAACCAGACGTCTCTCATGCATAACGACGCCGTCGACTATCGCGGACCTCAAGTGCTTGTGCTGTGTGTTTACCATCGCTTATATATATTAATACCGAAATAAAGTATACTTTATATATATAAAAAACATTGTGTGACTGTCTATCCATACAGAATATTCTTTGTGAATTCATATCATATATAAGTTTTTGTTTATTGTTTCGCTCTATCGTTGAGTTTTAATGTATTGCTTTGGGTTTCGTGTCTCTCTATGAAGAAAGCCAACAAAAATCAATTGAAAAATTTGTTTTTCATTCATATTTAATACAAAAATGTTTAATAATAATTGATACGAGGTATTGATTTTCTACTGTTTGCTAACAATTTGTAATAAATTGGCAGAAAATGCAGAATAACGTATAACTTTATAAATAAGTTATAAATATTGCAAGAATATCCAGTTTGTAGAATATTCTGTACTCATCACCACTAAAATATTCATAAATATTTATTCATATAATAACACTGTTTATAAAATATATAATTAAATCATGAAATTTATGTTGAATACGAGTAACATTAATAGTTGGCTAAAATTGATAATGGTCTTATAAGACACACAAAACAATAACTTATATAACTCACGAGAGTCGCTACTTCTTTATGTTGTTTTGTTCTGATTTTTGAGCAGCTATGGTAAGTTTGGCGGTTTTTGCCCAGTCAACAGAGTTGTCTTAAACATAACTATAATATATAACTATAAAACTTCTGTCTGTCTGTCGACTTGTCTGTGCAATCGTTTTGTAAATCTGATTATATTTTTACAATGAAAACTACTCACAAGCTCTTTGTTATATCGATTTTATTTAACTCTGATGACAATTTTATGTGTAATCTTGTTTGAAAATACAATCATTACATCATCATATCATTAAAGTCTAGTTAGAGAGAGAGAGAGAGAGAGAGAGAGAGAGAGAGAGAGAGAGAATGATAATAAAATAAAACTAATGTAATTTTCATTGAGAAATATGAAATAATTTATTTGTTATTGTAATTTAATGTCACAAATACTTTTCCATTTATAGCATTTACAAAAGTTGCACAAATTATATAATTTAAAACTTAACACACATTTAATGATACGTTTAACAGATAAAACATTGGGCGAGGATTGCTTACTACCGGCTGAATGTTCACAATCTATGCATTTAATGTGTATATCACGGGTGTGTCAGTGCGATGACGGCTACCATAAGACCGGCAACAACACATGTGTGGCCGACGCGGCCAAGACTGGTATGTGTGAACATTTATATCTCAATCACTTTTGCCATGTCTTTACTCCGATCGCCAACTCCTTCATCAACACATCCCATCTTTTTCTCCCGTTCTCTCTATGTTTTAACCATTTCTGTCTAATATCACTGTCTGTGCTATAAATTAATAATATTTGTAGACCAGAAGGAGAGAGAGAGAGAGAGAGAGAGAGAGAGAGAGAGAGAGTATTATTTTACTATACAGTGTTTGTTAGGAATCAATATATAAATCAACTGATGTTCACTGAATCTATTGATTTATTTTAGTTTTTTGTTTTTTCTGTACATTTAAAGAGTAACGAAAAGAGATATATTTTTACAGTACTATTGGTATTACACAACATATAAACGGTTTGTATTTTGTGTAAAATTCAATTTTGCGTGAAAACCAAAAGAGACAATAGTTTAGACATAAATTTGTTTTATTAAAACATTTTCTATCAAAAATACAATACATGTGTCCATAACATGCTCTGAGGAAAAGTAACATGTCTCATTTTAGGATTAATATAAATACTTGTATTAAATTTTTAAAAAACTTTAAAACAACAACAGAGCAAATGGTTAAACAAATACGGGTCCAAACAAAATGACAAAATTGTCTGTCATAGAAAAAGTGGGTTAAAATTTTGTTATAATAATTGAAAATGAAAAGAAAAGTCTCTCTCTCTCTCTCTCTCTCTCTCCTTCTGGTCTACAAATATTATTAATTTATAGCACAGACAGTGATATTAGACAGAAATGGTTAAAACATAGAGAGAACGGTCTCTCTCTCTCTCTCTCTCTCTCTCTCTCTCTCTCTCTGACAATGTGTTTAACAACCCGTACGAGAAAATGTCTTCAAATTATTAATGGTGTGTAAAATCAAATATACATTTTGTGCCAAGACTTCTGTCTCATTACATAAACCAATATTTGAAAGCCTATTACAGCTCTCAATTGAGTGTTATATGTAGAGCACAACCCGTATTAGATCCAGGGTAATCTATTTGACAATTCATTTCCCCTTCACATTCGCTTCAATTCGTTTGTTTTGTTGACATTTTAACATTTAAAATCGTGTCATTTACCATCAGGGTAATAAATGATTGCGTGTATGTGTTCCTACATCTAATTAAATAAATTTCAAACATTTTAAAATAATGATTTTAAATTGGTAAAACATTTATTTATTATAATTAATTATATATAGAATACAGTCCCGGAATATATTTATTTTATAAATAATTTATTGTTGCGATTATTGTTTTATAATATAAAAATATATAATAAAATTCAATATAGAATCTATGGAAACAAAGTCTTATAATATCTATATATGGATCGAAAGTTATACAGAAAACTAAAACAAAAAACACAGAATATTCTTAGATTTATAGCTCTAACTCAAGATATATACAGAAATTTTAATTTATTATTCGCTATGAAATAAATTGCGGACAAAAATATATATATCTAAGAAAGATAAAGAAGATAAAAAGCTCAACATCTCTATGCATTATAAATAATATATTGATTTTATATATACTTTCATCTCTTTTGGTTTGTTTCAGTAAATATAATACATGTATTAGATATACAATAAAGTATAAGGCATTGTAAATGTATATTGCGGTTAAGACTCTCTACTATTCCAACTCTACTTCAATCCATATGTCAATACGTTTTTGTGGGCAAAAGGGATAATCGAAATGAATTGACATTATATTATAGTATCGGATGAATAAAACATTCAGTATTTATCTATACAGGAGATGAGTGGGTGAGAGAGAGAGAGAGAGAGAGAGAGTATTATTTTACTATACAGTGTTTGTTAGGAATCAATATATAAATCAACTGATGTTCACTGAATCTATTGATTTATTTTAGTTTTTTGTGAGAGAGAGAGAGAGAGAGAGAGAGAGAGAGAGAGGGATGGGAGAGAAAGGTCCTTTTAGCGATACTCCAATAAAATGATTGATCATTTCGAGTGTATACCTCTTATGGGTTATATTAACCAAAAGAAAAATAATAATAAATCCTTTTCCCATAGAATTTGCATATAAAAAATTCTAATACAATAAACGATCACATGTTATGCAACTGTATGTCAAATGTCTATACGTTTAATAATATTCTGTTTGAAAAACAGTTCAAACACCGACAGAATATTCTATGTTTTGGGAGATTTGACTGTTTTGTAAATAAATATTTTTTTATAATAAATTTTTGACAAAATATAAAATGTAATAAATAAAAAGAACAATCTATAAAATAAGTAAATGCCTGAAATGCTTGAGATAAAACTCTCTCTCTCTCTCTCTCTCTGTCGGATATAATTCTGGGAAATTACAAATTTTTCAAACGATTATTACATAGAGATTAGACATCAGTTCTTAGTATTTGGAGATTATTTATTGATTATAAATAAAAGCCATGAAGCTTGAATTCTCTCTCTCTCTCTCTCTCTCTCTCTCTCTCTTTCTCTGCCTTTAGTATGACATTAGTTTGTATTACATAACAAAACTCACAAAACAAATATAATAATAATTTTGTTTCTCTACTGAAACTCTTTTAATGCATATTATATGCAATTGTGTAATAAAAATAATAATAACACAAATACAGTGAACTATAGTGTATGATAAATTACATGGCCTTTTCATTTATATAATATACTATCAAAAGTATTATGTGTTTTATTTTTTATAATTAATGCATTAATACTTTTAGTTTCATTGCGACGATTCTGTTGTAAATTGTCATTAGATTTAATAACAAAAAACACAAACTTTTGTTTGAATACTATTCATGAATATTATAGTAAAAGTGTATTAAATATAAATATTGTATAAAAGATTAGTACATCTAATATAGTGTACACAATATAATAGCGTAGATTTTAGAGTTTATTTTTAGCTCAACTTATTATCAATTAAAGTGACTTTTATTAAAATATTTCCAATTATTTTTCCATTCATTAATCAATGGGAAATATATGTATAAAACCATTTTCATCGCATGATATATCGGTTTAATAATCAATTAATCAGATTTTTTTATAATTAAATCCGTTATAAACATATGCCAAATATATATTCACTTAATTGTTTAGAGAGAGAGAGAGAGAGAGAGAGTATTATTTTACTATACAGTGTTTGTTAGGAATCAATATATAAATCAACTGATGTTCACTGAATCTATTGATTTATTTTATTGTCATTTTATATCATTAAAGCCAATATATTTATTATAAATACAATGAATTTTTCTATCATTAAATATATATCAATACATGTTAGAGAGAGAGAGAGCTTATATAAAAATTTAATTATTTTCAGAGCACTCTTCGCTACCTTTTTTCAGTCATCAGACGATTTAATTGAAGAGAAATGAGATGTAATTAGACGTACAATAAACTACTGTATATACACTTTATATACAGTATATAACTTGCCTAAAAGTTGCACAAAACCCCACACTCTATGGTATTCAGTACACAATTCTACTCTTAAACACCTATTCTTATGAAAACAGATGTTTATAAAAGCAAAATCGATTTCCACTAAATTCTGTTTTCTCTCTCTCTCTCTCTCTCTCTCTCTCTCTCTCTCTCTAACATGTATTGATATATATTTAATGATAGAAAAATTCATTGTATTTATAATAAATATATTGGCTTTAATGATATAAAATGACATCCATTTCCTGACAGTGTTCTTACTATCACAACATCAATAGGTATATGACCTGAGAGTATATAAACAAAATATTTCTATACCACTAAACGGATGGCAAAAACTCAATATATAATGAATGACTGATATAATGCTCTATTTCCTAATGGAGTACATGTTATGTATGTGTTTATAAAGTTATTATTATATTAAAACGCCTAATGCTTTGGCACTAAATAATACAGTCCTTTGTATTCACTCTAATATATTATCAAATCATACGCTTATGTCAAGTATTTCATTGATATTTTCTTTTATGTTTAAATTTTGTGTTAGTTTTTGTAATGTTTTGGCAAAATATTTATACAATATTACAGAATAACAAAATTCTTAAGTAATTTTCCAATGAATTGTATGACGATATGATTTATTTGAGTTAATTTTTAGTTTTTATATGTTTGATATGTGTATCGAAAATATCATAAAATTTTTATTGTGGAAATTTTTAAAAACAACAAAAAAATAAAATGTTTTTTGCAACTTTGAATATGATCAATAATTTAAAGAACCTTGATATTTTATTGACATTTAATATAAATAAAAATAATTATGTGATTTATGATAATTCTTTGCCTTTTTTTGTAAAAGTTTTTAGACTTCCTTTTTATTACATAAATTCATTTACATTTTCCTATTCTTTGCATTTTTATCATTGGTTTGAATGAAATAAATTGAATTTAAAATGCGGCGCAAAGAAGTCATATGTGAAATGAATGCAAATTATTTTTGATTACAAATATATGCCATATATTTATTTTAATAGACATCGATTTTGTTGAAATATAAGACTATACACTCTATATAAGTCATTAAATATAAAAATATTATTATGTGTATTTATTAAATGAGATTAAATATTGATTTCCGTATGAATTGTATATACAATGTATGTTTAATAATGTCGGTCATTCAACATAGAAGTTACATAATAAATGTCATAAACAAATGTCTGTTGTAAACACTTTTACCGTGATGAAAAATATATTTTATATGTCTGGATATTAACATTGAAATGATTCTCTCAAATATTAGATTTGCTGAGTGCACACATATAGTGCACACATACCTTGAATAAATTTCCAGACAACAAAATTTGCATTTTATCTCAAGGCTTAGAAACTTGCATAAAAGCATATCAATAAAATTCATGAGATATTCTTCGTCTACTTATTTGAATATTCTTAGAATAATAGAGAGAGAGAGAGAGAGAGAGAATAAAAATGAGTGGAATGTAAGGATAAAATCATAAAATATTGAAATGTGTTTTTATCAGTGAAGATAGTAAAAAACTGAAACTTTGTAACTAACGGTCGTTTACTATCAAAGCCATTAAACAGTATTTTTCAATTGTTATGATAGTATTGGGAAATGGTTTTCTTAGGCATCAAATCAATAATTACAGTGCATTATATAACATAACTATACAGTACTGACACAATTCATACACCCATACAATAGATATCAATTTAAAAAATGGTTTTAAAACTAAAATTTTTATTTAATTCATAAATAAAATGACAATTTTGCTGTCAGTTGTTAAGTAAGTGTTTTGCGAGAAGACATACGCCAAACGCCGGGCCTAATGGCTATGATTGCTATTTAACAACTGCTATAATAACGGGTAATGTCTATCAGTAAGTGATAGATAGACATAATGTATAGCAGAAAAAAATAATGTAACTCTCGATAGACTTAACACTTATGGCACAGACTTCTCATGATGTGCTCTTCCTTCCTATTTCTCTCTCTCTCTCTCGTCTTAACACTTATTTTGATTCAATATATTTTATACCATGTTTTTGTTGTTGGCGTAAAAAACATTAACCATTTAGGGAGTAAAGATATGGCCATAAGTTTGCAAAACTAACGAATCCAATATTTTATCATTTTATTTGTTATTTTCTCTAAAACATAATCTATCCATAGGTTTGGACTACTATTTCAAATCACCAATGCTTCCAATACTAATAGTATTAGCCATTATGTTTGTGGGCATATGTGTGGCGTTGAACCTATTCAGCAGGTATGCATCAAATTGTACTTGTTATTATTATTATCATTGTGCACAATACATCGATAATATTGATTAACCATGTTATCAATCATGACAACACCGATAGCGACAAAAGTTACAATACAGACCATTATTATAAGATGACTACATCTATCAAATAATTTTTATTATCACATCAGCTGTTTGTTGGACTGTATGTGATGTCCATTAAAAGCCCATTTAATAACAAAGGTTACATAAAAGACACGAAAAAGTTCATTTATCAAAGAATTTATTGGGCAAGATGTTATGCAATTAATTGTATCACAATTTTCACAGATAATAACTTACATAGTATTTACAGTCAATATATCAAATGCCTATTTGTCACACAAATACTTTCCTCCCGTTGGACACGATGTCTATACGAGAAAAATAATAAATACTACAAATAAATGATATAGTTTTGCGACAAATTGCCATTAATTACACGTATATTTTTTGACGTATTTCTCAAAACAGCCCAAAAATAATTGAATGAAAAATAAGCCTTAGTTTTGGCGTCCAATTAACTGGAAAGTAATTTAATTGACTTTTCGGACCAAAAGCTTTGATTAAAATGATAAAAATTAATTAAAATTATACAATAGCCAGAAATATATATAGTTATGAGATTAACATTTGACGATTTATATCATACAATTCAATTGGATTGAAAATACACTGCCATTCAATTCAATACACTTCAGTAATTATCGGTTTATTTGAGTGCAAAATATATAATACATTGAATGTCCGAAACGTCTCTTTATTTCGTTCAGCGAAAGACCATTTGATCACAAAATACAACAACAAATAAAAGTCATTGAAAATAGAGATAAAACACGAATTTGATTGTAATGTAATCTATACTATACTATAGACTATAGTATACGATATATAAGAATATTCTTTGAATTCTTTGACAACACAAAAAGGACGGACAAAATAGACTTTTTGGCTCTCTCTCTCTCTCTCTCTCTCTCTCTCTCTCTCTCGCAACCTTTTGTTCAAGACTTTGGTATATTTGGCAAAATCCGACCCTATATTCAATATATCGAATATATTCTTGACATTAGAGGGCCCTTAAGGCAAAGGATCGGATGAGAGCTATAACTAAAATAATGTTTGAACGACAGAGAGTTAGCTCTACTTTTTGTAGCGAATATTTGATTAGTTTGTGAATGAAATAAGAAGTGAAAGACTAAAGTGAATGTATTATTATATTTGATAGCATGTGTCCAATGAAATGAGACGGGAGTGCAAATGTCATGGCATGAGTGGCTCGTGGTATGTAAACAAGAGTAAAAAAGATTTAAACATTTAAACTCCAATTTGTGCCTCAAATGTATGTAAAGCACTGTAAGGACGTGTTGGATGCGTTTACCGGCCTTCAGAGACATTGGCAATCATCTCAAAGATAGGTTTGACGGCGCGTCTCGAGTGCTCGTCAGTAATGACTATCGCGGACTCACCAGAAAAAAGTATAAAAAAGTTCAGCTCAAACCCTATGAGACCGGTATGTATTGATTGCAATTAACATTTGACTATTAATTATAACTACAATTATATCAATTTATTGAATCACTTAAAGGATATAAGAGTCCGACGCGAAAAGATTTAATATATTTTGAAGAATCGCCTGATTTTTGTGTTACGAATCAAAAGTTTGGTGTTTTGGGCACAAAAGGAAGGGTTTGTAACGACACGTCTATCGGCGTTGAAGGTATGCACTCATATGCCTGTGTTATTACAAACAATATTATATAAAAGTAAATTTTATTTGACTTTATATAAGGATGTGATTTGTTATGTTGTGGTCGCGGATACAAAACTGAGATTAGAGAGGAGTTAGAGCGATGTAATTGCACTTTCCATTGGTGCTGTCAGGTATACCACATCATTGTATATCATATACTGTACACTATATCTAAATGAATGAATTTATTTATTTAAAATCAGGTGAAGTGCAACATTTGTAAAGCAAGGAAAACAGTTCACACATGTTTGTGATACGATTCTTGTGTTTTTATTTGAAATGTTCATAAAAAACATACTGTAATACAAGTTAAACCAAAATATGTGCCATTTTTAAGAGTTTTTAAAAGATTGCAATTTTATATATTCAATATTTGCAGTGTTTTGAATAATAGCAACGATATTAATAACATATTTGTTTGAAATACTGTATACACTATTGTAAATTAGGATAGACGTTACAAATATTTTGTTTGTGGTATTAATGCAATCTTGTATTATAAATAAATAATTTAGATAAAAGGATATGCTTTATTATATTCCTATTATATTATACACACATTTTATATATATATTTAGTAAAACAGTAATAAATTTGTTGTAATATAAATAATGTAGATATAGTTGTAAATAATATAAGATTTATTTGTAATAACTTATTCACAATTGAGAGCACTTTTATAACTACTCTATAAATGTTTCTTAAATTATTTATTCATATTCTCATGTATTCACAACTTTATCAATAATTAGGATTTTACTCTCATTTTATCATCAATTTTGTGTTCAATATTTTCTAAACTTTTAATTTATTCAATTAATACTGTTAATAAATAGCAAAATCTATTACACATTAAGTAATTTGTATAGAAATATTCTATTAAAAGCATTTGTGAAACAAATTATTAATAATTTAAAGTCAAAAAAGTTATAAAACTATAAATTATTGAGAAACTCAATTCATTTTTAAATGCCATATTTCTATCCATACAATAATATTATTAGTTATGATTTAATTAATTATACATTTAATAATAATTTTCCGGAAAGTATAACTGATTTCTGAACACTAAAAGCACTTATATTTTATTTAACAAAAGATAATGCTTTCCCCACTTCACTGCTTTCAATTGACTTATAGTTTGTTGACTAACAGCACACCTGTCCCTCATAAGGTATATACAGGTATATAAGTGAAGTTATAATCTGTACACTTGAAATAATTGTTCAAAACATATACAGTACAGTATATTGAGCTCCACAAGAGTGCTGATGACCATTGCATTAGTCTTGTCTAATAAGACATGTGTCGAAATGTATTTTTACTGCATTGAAATCCATGTGAAAACTTGTTTTTATCAATTATTTGGAGACCCTTTACTTAAATAACTAATACTAATTTAATTCAAAACTAATCTGATTTTCTTATATTTTAAAAATCTCTTGAAAGGGAAAAATTGTAAAAATTTATTGCAAATATTTCTACAATTTGTATAATATATAAAAATATATTATGATATAAATTTTTAAAATAATTCCTTTTGATTGCATTCCGATCATAAAAATGGCTCAAATGTAATATTTATCTGCATTTGGATCTAAACTAATAATCTTGAAAAATGGTAAATTTCATACAATATTGTATATTCACTACAAATGTTCATTCATTCAGACAATAATCAATGTATAAAAATAAAGACATTACAGAAAGAAACAGAGAAAACTCAATATGTGTTTAAATTAATCAAATGTAATAAAAATAAAGTTTTGATTTGATGTGAGCTTATTATATATATTTATTGAATGCAAATAAATAATTTTATAAACAAAATTCTTGAGTTTAATTGTTTTCATAAAAATTTAATCACATCTAAATTTTTATAGTGATTTACATCCGTTTCATAACAATTGCGTTTATAATAATATTTAATAGCAATTTTCTGCCTACACTTTCGTATTATCTGTTCATTATATAAAGTACATTATAATAACAGAAATTCTTATCGACTTAAGTAAATATGACTAATATATTAATATCATGTTAATAATAAAATATGATTTTAACTCAATTCAGTTATTATACATTTCCTCTGATATAAAGAGAATAAAAATTAAATTAAAGATTGTGTTAATAACCGGTAAAGTTGTTGTCATTTCATAATTGTTCATATTTTCTTATATTACTTATTACTTATAAAAGAATACATTTTAAGCCTCGCTTCACACACAGTATCAATGAAATTAAATAAATGTTTATTATTCATCTGTAAAATTAAAACCATTTAATACATCAAAGTATAAAAGTAACTAGATGGGTTTTTAGTGAGAAATAATAAGAATATTAAATTTAATTGCTAAATGATTATATCTATCTGAAATTGATTTTATATACTTAATTAATGAATAAATATAGCAACAATGACATTTATACGTAATATAAACTAATTCTAATAATTGATTTTAATCTATAAAAAACTAATCTATTATATTAATAAAATATCAAAATATTAACCTTACTTTAGGAAAAACAAACATATCATAAGAGCTATGAATATAAAACAATTGATATGAAGAGAGCTCTTCTAAGCTCTCAATTCCTCTCTTATTATTCCTAAACAAAGTAAACGCTTAATAATGTGGAGGAGAGACTGATATATGATATACCAGTGCTCTGTAACTATGAAACAAATTATTTTTATATTTGATAAGTGTTTAAATCATTACTAGAATTTCTCTCACAATGAACACTAGATTAGTAACAAATAATTGAGAGCTTAAAACTCATTTTATTAAATATTAAATTTATTAAATAATAATTATTGAATTAAAAGTTTGCAATTGGTAAATGACAAAGTAATGGATATTTTAATGAAGTATTTATATTTAATTAGTTGTAACTTAAGTATCGATTCAAACAAATATAGTGTGAATTGAAGAATAATAATAAAAAGAAGTGATTTTAAGACAAGAATTCTAATGAATGTCATCTGAAGAGTGA